AGAGGCAGAGGGGGCAGAGACATCAGAGAGAACTTTTTTGGCCCTGAGATATCGGTCACCAGCCTGTGTTTGAGATCAGACACGCTGCCTCCATTGACCAGAGGTGTGCTGGGTTGTCCTGTACGTGTGGCCGTCCTGTGGCCTTGCTGGCTGAGCTAGCAGGGTCTGGCTCTTGTCTTGCTGGTGCTTTGCGACTCTGGTAAAGATCCTGGTACCCCTCTTGCCCTGTGCTGTGTTCCTGGGTTGTAAGGCACCGCTGTTGCTGTGAAAAAACAGATGCATCTTTCATCTTGGACCTGGAGAGGCGCTAAAGGGGACCTCTTTTTCTTGGGATGTCCAGAAAAAGTGGCATCTCTGGGCTGGGAAGGGGTGGCCAGCTTTGTAGGCATTGCCTCTGGAGCCTGCTGTCCCGCATGCATCCAGCCAGCTCATTCAGAGAGCACTCCAGGGACTATGGGAGGGCTGGGGAAACTCCTTTGGCCTTCACTGGTGAGTGTGCGGAACTATTTTTGCTTGCTGTCTTGGAAAAGAAACTTCTCTTTTCATAGCGAATGATATTTCTGGTAGATGAAGACAATAGGGCTTCTTGGCTTTGGGTGTAGCTTTAGGGGGAAAAAAAAAAAAATTGGCAGTGGCCAGCAGCTGCTGGCAAGTCCCAGTAATTGCAAACACGGCTGTGGCTGTTTCTGTGCCAGCTTCCAGAGCCAAGCTAACCATGCTCAACACGATGTCAAAGATCCGCGGGCAGGTGAAGAACCCCGGCTACCCGCAGTCAGAAGGGCTGCTGGGGGAGAGCATGATCCGATACGGCAAGGAGCTGGGCGAGGACTCCAACTTCGGTGAGTGTCCCATCGGGCCAGCTCCCCCTAGGAGCGTGCGGATGAGATGGCCAAGGCTGCTGCCAAATTCCCAAGCTGTTATTCTAAATTCTGGAAGGGCTGCATCACCCTTTGCATCACCTAACGGTACTGGGCGCTCTTAAAAGAGGTTTGAAGGCTTCCAGCCGGGATGGCAGGGAAAGGGGCAAGCAGAGCCCAAGTGCCCTGGATCCCAGTCCATGGCATGTTGTGCAAAACCACCTCTTAATGCTTTCTTATTAAACACTGAGATAAATTTACACGTAGGAAAAAATGCTTCCTCGCTTCTGAACTAAACAATGTTGACGTGGAACCTAGACTGAGCGAGATGCGGAGCCGTAGGGTGCAGCTCCCAGCTGGAGCTCTGCTCTCGGGAGGCTGTAGCCAAGAAATCTTTTTGCGTGGCAATTTCTCCTAACGACGTGTGACCTGCAGGGAGGAGGGGGGTGAAGCATGTGGGTGACATCAATTTTAATCCACTAAAAACATCAGCCCGCGTGCTGATGCAGGACCGGTGCAGTACACAGTCCGGTGGCTTCCTGCGCAGGGGGGAGCCTTCTTGCCTCAGGAAAATGAAAAATCTCTGGCTGCTTCGTGGGAGCGATGAAGGATCCTCGAGAGCCTCGCTGGCCAGCTCCGAGCCCTGCATCTCTCTTGGCTTGCAGGAACCGGAGCTGTTACAGCGAGCAAAGGGGAAGGAAGTTTTTAGAAGAACACACCAAACCTGATTTCCTTTAATAGCCTCTCTTTAAAGGAACATTTAACTCGATGAATTGCTATGTTAGTGCTGCGTTCCTTCCTAGGACAGGTTATCTGGAGTTATCGCAATTGAAATAACTCTTCTTGTATATTTATTTTTCCAGCTGGACAGGAGAGTGATGTTTTCACCCTCTGCTTCACTTGTATATTCTCCTGTGCTAATGTAGTGCTGAAACGGTTGGTTTGCCAAAGCTGCACAGGAATAATTTAATCTGTAAATGGGTTTCCACCGGGAATAAAAAGCCAAGACTAAAAATGCTTTGCTGCAAGTCCGTCTGGCTTAGCTGTCACTGTGGCGGGAGGCTTAGAAAAGCATGAAACCAAATAGGTTTCAATAAGCAACTCTGAGCTCTCTAATTCAGAGGGGAGAAGAAGGGATGAGGTTGGCCTGGTAGAGGTTGGTGTCTAAAATGAATAAAAGGCTGCAGCTTTGCTGCCAGCGTCTGGGGAAACTTGAAAAGTTGGTCACAGTGCTCTGGGCTTAAAATTGTCTGAACAAAAAGGCTGGCCAGGCTGGATCAGACCGAACGCACCTCTGCCCCGGGCTTCTCTGGCCAGCAGTGGCCAAGGAGCAGAGCAAGGTTAAAGCACTGCATGGCCAGTTAGCAGCTTGGTGACTCCCTGAGCTAACAGGGAGTTTAAAAATACTGCTTTTAAAAATAGTTTTACGTTTTCCTTCCTCTGTGTAGTTGGCAGAGATTGTTCCTGTTTTTCAGAGTTAAAAGCTGAAGCACGTTTAAGTGGAGCGTCTTGTGTGGAGTCGGTACCAACAGGCAACGGCCTGCGCTTACGCCGGGCACCGCTCGGTCCGTGCCAGGCTTGGAGATTTGGTCCAGATAGAAATGGGGGGGCGTTGGACAAGGGACGGAGCTTGCACACGCTGGGTGTCTTGGCAGAATGGCTCTGCATGCAGCCGCCACAGACTTCGGCTCTGTTTAACTGGCTGGCCCCTTCTCCCTTTCTCTTCCCTTCCTTCTCTCACTCGAAGGCGATGCGCTTCTTGACGCTGGCGAATCTATGAAGCGGCTGGCGGAAGTGAAGGACTCGCTGGATATTGAAGTCAAACAAAATTTTATTGATCCCCTCCAGAACCTGTGTGACAAAGACCTGAAAGAGATCCAGGTAAATGCCACCATGTTTTTCCCTCCTCTGGTTTCTGGCCTCCCCTGGCTATTAGCGCATGTGACTGCTTGCTCTGTCACGGTGGGAACCAAGGACTCGTGTAGGTATTGGCTCTGTTCCCCTGCACTGCGCCTGCTTTTCCTCTCCAGATTCCCCAGTATTTCCTCCCTGCTCAGCACCACCGCTGCTACTGCTCCTGAGCAGCTCCTGAGGCTGGATGCAGGTTTGAATGCTTCTTCGTTTACCGTCTTTTATGAAGGATGCCGTGGGATTACGTCCCAACACGCATTCCAGGCTTGCTGAATTTGGTTCTTTGTGCTGTGAGCCGTGTTACATTTGGGCTGCCTGGCATTAAACTTCATGGTGTTCTTCAGAGCTGTTGGCTCTATTCTCTTAGAGTAGCCTGAATCCTGTAACATAACTTCTAGGCTATGAGCAAGCTTCCCCCTAGGTCTCTTATGCAGCATCTCAAGAAGGCCCCTTGGTGTCTCGATGAGATGTTGGAGCTTGGTGGCTCCCATGCACTACCACAGAGACAAGTCTGCACAACGCATGGCCTGGCTTTTGTAACAGGATCCATCCCAGCCCGTAGTTCACAAGCCAGCCTTCTCGAGTGAATTTGTACTTACAGTGGTGTCCCAGATAATATAACCGCCAACTATTCTCTCACTACTTATCTGCACTCCAATTCTGCAGGCTGCCATGGAGCTAATTTAAACAGCCCTGCCCTCAGCAGTCAGGGGGTGCAGTGCCCAAAACCTGCATCCCAATTCCTGATCTCCAGAGATCCCTGTTGTTCCTGGGGAGCTGAAAGCAGAGGGCCAACTCTTCATCTTCCCGAAAGGCTTGCATGGGGAACAGATCCGGGCTGCTCCCTGCAGTGTTTTCCTCCAGCTCTCAGCTGGAAGGGGGTGAAATCATCTCGCCATTTCAATTTGTTGAGGGTTGTTTCTGAGTAAAAAGCCCCCTGCAGCCACAGCAGTGATGCTCTGCCAAGCTGAGTTTGGACGCTCCACTCCTCCCTGCACCCCGTGCCTTGCAGCTCGCGCGTCCCGGAGCCTCTCCGGAGCCTGGACAAAGTGGGAGCCACAGAAGCGTTGGGTTTCCGAGGCGAATGAACCTGACCCGTAACTAGAGCTGCCTTCCCAGCAGGAGAGCTTGGCTACTCCCAGTCTCTGGCTTTTCCTTCTTTTCCTTTACTGTTCATAACCATCCTTTTCCCAGCACCATCTCAAGAAGCTGGAAGGCAGACGCTTGGACTTTGACTACAAGAAGAAACGACAGGGCAAAATCCCCGATGAGGAACTTCGACAGGCCATGGAGAAATTTGAAGAGTCCAAGGAAGTAGCGGAGACCAGTATGCATAACCTCCTAGAAACTGATGTGAGTGCACGGGGGGAGCGCCGGCTCCTCTGCCCTGCGCTGAGACCTGCCGGCTGCGTTGTGTGTTTCTGTGTACACGAGGGTGGGATCTCTTGAGGGACGCAGAAATTAGACACTTATTTCCACTCTCATTTTTGCAAGTGTGGCTTTGCTCTCTGAATACCCAGACCTGAGTGCTCGGGACCTGGCGGGCCTCTTATTCTTTCTGTAGCCCCGCTTGCTGATCCAGTTCTTGGCCAGAGGAGAGGCTGGGGCTTGTAGCGAAACAGGTCTCTTCTCAGTGTGCTGGTGGGAGTAAGTTTGGGCAGGTAATGCAGCTTGCTTGGGAGGGATTTGAACAGCTAGAGAAACCCAGCCAGTGGAAGGAGGTGTCCTCTGTCCTGCTGAGTCTTGGCCAGTGCCTGACCTCTGGTGTCTGAAATCCCAAACCACCTCCTCATCTCCCCAGCAAAGTTGTCCTTCGTACACCTTCCCCAGTACCGTCTCAGCCCCCGTGTGCGATGCAGGCGTCCCCTGTCAGCTGGGGGGAGCCATTCGTCCCAGCTTGGTGTGATTCTTGCAGATCGAGCAGGTGAGCCAGCTCTCAGCCTTGGTGGACGCCCAGCTGGACTACCACAGGCAGGCAGTGCAGATCCTGGATGAGCTTGCGGAAAAACTCAAACGCAGGTGAGTCCCAGGGTGCTGTAGGCACTCTCGGTTTTCACAGCCACAACCTCTGCCTGTGGAACTGGTCTTTAAATACCCGACTCTCCCTCTAAATCTGTCCCCTGGTGTTAAAGCTGCTTCTTGTGATCGCTAGAGCTTCAATCCAAACTTCCTCCAGGTTGGAGGGAGCGATGCTGGCTGCACAACCCGCTCTCAATGACGAGCACGTTCCGACATCTGAAGCAAGGGCCGTGTGCTTGTGCCGTGGGCAGCTGGGCTGAGCCCTGCCTGAATCGGGGTGCGCTGCTCCCAGGGAGGCTGGAGCTGAATTTAGCAGGGGTGGAGAAGGAGAGTGGAATCCCCTTCACGCCAGGGCTCCCGGCTCCTTGTGCTATGGGTGTTGAGTGTGGGGTTGTGCCCCAAGAAGCGCCTTTTGGCCAGACCCAGGATTGAGTCAGAAGTTGCATCATGCTGTTGGAGCAGATGGCTTGGATGTCACGAGCTGGACATGCCTGGCACCCTGTGTCACCTGGGACGGCCCAGCCTAGAGTCTTTGTGCCATTAGCTTCAGCTGTGGTTAGGGAGGGTACCTGGAGATGAGCCGTGGTTGTGGTCCAGAAAGGTCCATGTCAAGGGTTCCCAGTTGCTCTGAGGACCAGAAAGTGAATGCGGTGTGGGGGGGATGATGTGGTGGCCACAGGCATGATGTGGTGGCCACAGGCCGGTGGCAGAGCACCTACATCACCTCCTTAAAGGCAGGCAAGTGAGCCCTCCACCAGACCCCTCATTTTCCAGCAAGCCCTACTTGGGGTTTCTGTCTACTTGGTGGTCCCTGGTAGACCCTGCCGCAGATGCGGTGGCCATGCCGCGTGCGCTCTGGCATGCTGAGCCACGTGAGCCTGTCGATGAAAGGGTGAGAGGTGTCTGGCACGCCGGAGCAGGGAGAGCTGTGGAGCTGCCTGCTCTTGCTGCTCTGCCTGCCTCTCCTCAAGTGCCTGACCCCCGCAGCGGCCCCGGGGAACGTGCGGTTGCTGCTCAGGTGCCAAAAAACACAGAGGTGCTGTTGAAATAATACTGAACGAGCTGGTTCACGTGACTGCCGTGACTTGCACAGTTGTTCTTCCTGCTGCTCGGTTTCACCTGAGCAAGCATCTCCCCGAGCCCTGGCCAAGGCAGGAGAGGTGGCTTCCTTGCATCTGGAGCTTCCCTGTGGAGGTGGGGAAGGACGTACCTTCCTCAGCCTGGCACATGGTGGCTTGGACAGAGTCAGGGCAGCCTCTCTGCTTCTCGGGGTGATCTGGCAATGCTGCCCTGCTGTTCTCTCCTCGTAGAAGAAACTGCTGAGTGGATCCTGTGTCTGGTTTGAATTCAGAAGGTCTGGGAGGATCCTGCCAAGTGTGAGCTTTCCAACTGCAGCACGAGTGTCCTCTGCTGGCCTGAATTGCCTGAGACACCTCTGTAGCAAAGCCTGGGGCATGTGGCCATCCCTAGGGGCCAGGTCCCAAACCCTGGCCAAGATCCATCTTCAAAACACCCCAGCACAGAGGGTCGTGCAGATTCTTGTCTACAAACCAATGTCCTCCCCTTCGTAGCCACCAAGGAGAATAAATATCGCGTTGATCTCACCATATTCTGTTTAGTATTTCAATTTATCCACATTTCTTTTTCCTTCTTCCAGAATGAGGGAGGCTTCCTCGCGCCCCAAGCGGGAATACAAGCCCAAACCCAGGGAGACGTACGACTTCGGAGACACTGACCAATCTAACGGGGGCTTCTCTTGCAACCCTACCCCCAAAGTCTCAGGTAAAGTTGTCCTGTGGGTGCAGGCACCTCTGGAGCAGCCTCCTGGGGATGGAGGGGAACTACTCTGCCTGGAAATGATATTTCTGGTGTGCTGGATGTGCCCACACGGGCTCTGAAAAAGTCAGAAATACCTCTGGACCAGGGCTGTTTTCTCTTGGGGCTCAGCAGCCTTTCTTATATTGGCTTTGGAGATGTCCCAGCGGGGTCTCCAGCCCATGCCACTCACCTGTAGTGCCCGGTCAGTGCCAGCAGTGGCAGACAGGAGAAATGAAGCATCTCTCACTCCCTCCCCGTCTTCCATCGTGCTGCATTCATCCCTCCCTGGTCCCGGCGAGGCAGGCGGGTTTCTAACACAGCATGTGGGCCGCCCTGTTTCTCCTAACAGATCCTCCCTTTGAGCCCTGCTTTTCCCTCTCTCCAGTTCACGTTGTTTTAAGCATGTCTCTTTTTGTTTGGAAGCAGCTTCCTCCTCTTTCCGATCCGACAAGCCGTCCCGGGCCTCCGTCAGGAGTATCCGTGAGTTTCCTCCCTCCGCACTGCATGATGTGTGACCATCTCTCCCCACCCCTCCTTGCTCCTCCTTCCGTCACGCTGCCGCTTGGAGCCGCTAACACCTCCGTGCTGAGCCTGGCTGGCAGATCAGCCCAGCTAAGCTAAGCTGGGCTAAGCCCCAAATTAAAACAGCCACACTATATTGGTATTTACCACCCCAAAGCCTGTGCTCACCCAGAGGAGCTGTAGCAGCTATCGTCACCCAGATGTGTCCTGCCTGTGGCCGCAGGGATCAGGTGCTTTTCCACGAGGTATCAGACATCTCGAGGATTACCCGTTCTTGTGACAAGCACCCAGCTTGGATCTCTCCCAGTCCTGCTCATGCCACCCCCCTGTACCCCACTGCTGAAGGCTGGAGGGGAGTGGGTAAAGCCTTGGCACGCTGAGCCCCACCTGGGCAGCGGGGAGCCTCGAATGGGTTGTGAGCGTGGGGTTTGCGGCTTAGCATTCCTCCTGAAGGGACTGGGGGGTCCCGTTGGGGTCCCAAGGTCAGGCTGGCTCTGTGGCTCGGAGGCATCGCGGGGGGGAAGCTCGTGGTGGTGCAGCAGCAGGGCAGGAGGACTTGAGGAGCCTGGTGCAGGGGAAGTGCTGTGGTGGTGGTGGGACCAGCCTGGTGTTTTGGGAAGCTGTCTCGAACACAAGAACCTGCTTGGCTGCTGCTTTTTGGTGTTTTCAGAGTTCTCTTCTAATGCTGGGTCCTTTCCTGCTGTGGATGCTCAGCAGACCAGACGTGCTGGCTGCTGTTCGTGCCATTCCCCCTGCCCTGGTTGGAAGAGCTCTAGCACAGAGCTGTGCAGGCTCCGGAGCGATGCAGGGGGGGG